ATGTATCTAGATAGATTTTTGATTAAAATATCGGTATTATTTTTTTAGACGATGTGTCTTAAAAAGTATCTTTTAACAACTCTGAACTCCTATCATAAAATAAAATATACAAAAAAATTATATTAATTGAATAGTAAAGTAAACTTAAATATTAATAAAAGACCGGCCATAAAAAGTAAAAAGACCGTCCGGACCACGGTCCTCAATAAAAAGATCGGTCCGGTCTCGGTCTAAGACCGATAGGACCGGACCGTTGACCTTCACTAATAGTACGACACAAAATTTCTTAAATACTATCTTTATTATTAAAATAACATTGATTTATTATTAAAATAACATTGATTTATTATAATATATTAATTTTGTTTAAAAATAATAACCAACGATCTTTTTTAAATACAAAAGAATGTAAACAAGATAAAATTTTATAAAAAAATTGTAATTTTACAATGTAAAAAAAATATATTTTATGCTAATGTATAAATAAGATTTTATAAAAAAACAAACAATTTTAAATTTACAATGTAAAAAATAATTATAATCAGTGCGGGGAAGTTGTTCTACAGTATTTAGTTAATACAATGGGGGAAGGGAATATGATATTTTGAGGCATCAAAAATCTTCAAAGCATAAATCAGTAGAGGGCAGTCTATCAACATCTATTGCAAAACAAAAATATTCTTCAAAAATAAAAAATAATACAGATGCAACTACAGTTGCGGAAATGGTAAATACCTATCATGTAGTACAACATTCAGAGAGCTACTTAACATCACAATGTTGGTAGAATCTTTCCCCATAATTTAACGACTAATATAAATGAAAAGTATACTTTGTAGAACACAAATGAGCAAGGCTATCATCAATGTTTTAGGATATAAATCCAGAAGGTCAATTCTTGACGATTTGAAAGATGTGCAAACATATGCAATTCTAACAGATGAATCTAATAAGGAGATATCAAAACATTTCCCTTGATCCTTCCCTATTTCAACAAAATTAATGTCATTTCAATATAACCATTAAAAAAAATTTCTCCAGATATGAAATATCCAAAGACATAGCTAACCATATATAATGGTAAATATGGAAGATTTGGCATTACCAATGAATTGCATGGCAGCTTTCTGATCTGATATTTCCTCAGTGAATTTGGCAAAAACCAGAGTTTATTTACAGAATTGAGTCAGCAAAATGTTGGTTGACAGGTTCCTCCTAATACGCGCCATCGTAGAATTTTAAAATTTTACAAACCTTTAAAAAATAAATAGATTATAAAAGCTGTCCTAATATTTTGAAAAAAATTTTCAAAAATAAATGGCAGAAGTATATTTAGGAATTTTACATATAGGAAATCTACTATATGCTGTTAATATGCAGTTGCAATCAGAAGAATATAATTTAATAAAGGTTCACTAAATTATGCTGCAGAAATACCAAAGTAAGAATATTATTACTATTATCGGATAATTTTTAATAAGATTTAATATTATGTCATGTTTGAGGAGATTGTAATGCTTCTTTATTTTTATGATTTGCCAAAATATTAATTTTACAATGTAAAAAATAAATTTATTTGATTTTATGCAAATGTATAAATAAGATTTTATAAAATATAGAAAGTCAAATAGTTATAGTTAATTATATTTTATTTGAGATTTAAATAATGGAACTAAACGTTTACCGTCGTTATTAAGATATTTATAAAATTCCTGGCATGACATTTTATAATTTTTTTTAACCATTAACTCGGCCTCTAATGTTGTTAAAGCAATTCGATTTCTCTCCTTTCTCCAGGCAGTCCTCATCAGGCTAAAAATGCGCTCCGATGAGGCATTAGAATGAGGTAAGGAGAAAACATACTCGCAAATTTTTTCCAAGCATGGGGATTTATCGTTATTACGAAAAAATTCCACCCATTTCTCCTTTGCTTTTAGACCATCTAACTTTAAGTATTCTGGCGAATCATAAAAAATCGAAAAAATTACAATATCTTCAAACAAGGCTTCAATGTCTATCGGTAATTTTAATATATTTATTAAATTACAAAAACCATCAAATGATGGTTTCTGTTCCAAGGTCATAATATTTATACACTTGTTAATAGAGTTATTAAAATCAAATCTTGATTGTAAATATTCCAAAATTGTCTTAATAAAAATATTTGCTTCATTTAAAAATACGTTAATTATAGTAATATTTGAACATTTTAATATATTTTTAGCAATAGCGCCATAAAATTTATTATCTATTTTTAACTGTAGAGATGAACAGAGCTGTAGCATGATTTTGTGAATCTTTATCAATAAAGAATCTTCTGATTGCAACTGAATATTAACTACATGAAGTAGATTTCCTAGATGTGAAACTAATCCCAAATATGCTTGACATTTCATCCTCGAAAAAATTTTTCAAAATTTTAGGACAGCTTTTAAAATCTTTATTTAAGAAGTATTTCTTTAAGGGTTCGTAAAATTTTAAAATTCTCTCGATGGCAGGTATTAACGATAACCACCTGATAGGTACATATCGCAACAACTCAAACCATTCCAAATCAGACCACTCCACCAATTCTTTTAATTCAGTGACTCTTTTAATTGATGAACTAAATTCGTTAAAACATTTCATCACAATTACTTCGACATCTACAGATAGTACATTCATTGCCTTCTTGCAAGAATTATGCAATATATGGCATATACAGCCAATTGGTATTAATTCATTATTGTGCTGCCTCAATTCGGTAAATACACTTTGATTTTTTAGCTATTGTTGAATTATATATCAATTATATTTATAATCTTTTGCTTGACATATACTTTATGGAATAGTATAAAAGTAAGTAGTGAAAAATATTATTAAATCAATATTATTCATCCACTAACTTTATTTAAAAGAATTAGAGATTAGAATAATATCCACTTCTAAAAGTTCTATTCTTCTAACACAAAAATTTTGAAAATGTCGAGTGGATCACTGCAATTCTAGATAACGATATAAAATATATTAAGTAATTTAAAATATATTTATAATAATTATACATACTGTTCTAACTTCTATTCTTTCTAACACAAAAATTTTGAAAATGTCGAGTGGATTATAAAAAATATATTTTAGAGCGGAAAAATAAAATAAAAGAACTAGACATATTTTCGAATAAATATTTAATTTTAAAAATATAAAAATAATCAAATACTGTCTCTCAAAATTATTATTTATATATTAAAACCATTAAAAAGCTAAAAAAAAAATTGTGGGAGAAATTAAAAAATTGTGGGAGATTTCTAATTGTGGGAGTGAGATGTATGTGGGTAAGTAAACTAAAAAATTGTGGGAGACTCCCACTGCCGGGGGGAGACATGGAAACTCTGGTTATGATTATGGAGATTATTGCACATATTGGAATTATCTAATATAGGAGATTATATATATTAGATAATTTCAATATGTGCAAAATTTTACCTACAGGTCTCTGTATTAATTAGCTTTACCAACTAAGTTTGTAAATATATTACAATATAATAATTTAACAGCAAAATGTTTACCACAATTTGAATATTTTCTTATAATTCCAATATGTGCAAAATTTTACCTACAGGTCTCTGTAATAAATGTCTTTGCTTTACAAACTATAGTAAGTAGATTACAATAAAATAATTGGACAGTAAATTATTACTTACCATAATTTGAAAATTTTCTTATCCAATAATGAAAATTAAGGGCAAAATTTAAAAAATAAAAAATGATTGTTAATTTAAATTAAATATATATGAAGAATTATAGTAAAATAAAAAGTTGAGGGGGGTTGCATTGAAAGAACGTTTGCCTTCCAATCGTGAAGTCGCAAGTTCGAATCCCGGGGATGGCAAATAAAAATTTTAAAAAAAAATTAACATTACACTATATAGTCTCCTTAAATTTTCAATACATTACGGAGATACGAAAACGATCATCATGTGATTATGGAGATTATATTTATATTAGATAATAAAAACTTGTTACAAATTTTTTATCTATCTGTCTGACTAGTGTTTGCAACGGTCCGGTCCAGTCCGGTCTTATTAGACTTTTCGGTCCTATGGGACGGTCCCGTCCAACAACACGGTCCCACGGTCCGGTCCGACCGAAGACCGATTAAAGAATATAAAAGTTTACTATAAATTGCTTTATAGTTAATGTGTATGTACATGAACATATAAAATATGATTATTTAATGCCTAACACTATATAATATCTAATTCATCGTTTACTTTTTATATTCTTCCGTTTCGTTAAATTCAATATTCATAGTTTACTTTTTATATTCTTCTTTGATTAGGCATTTGTGTATAATATAATAAAAATGAATTGATGATATAATTGAAATATTAATAGGGTAATTTAACTATTCATTTTTAATAAATATAAATGCAGAATAAAACTTTTGTAGCTTTATAAAAAAATTTTTTTTAGGTGGGACCGGACCGCCTGGACCGGACCGACGGTCCCACGGTCCGGTCTCATTTGACTTAACGGTCTATCGGTCCGGTCCCATTTTAGAAAAAAAAGACCGGACCGGACCGTTGCAAACACTATGTCTGACCCATACCATATATTTTTATCTAATTGGCCACATATCCAAAATTTTTTATTTATTAATTGTCCAGCCTGGCCCAGTTTATTATAATTTTTGCTTTTCATGGCTTGGATAATTTTAATTTAATTTAAAATTTTGCCTAATAGGATCTTTCTAAAGACTAAAGGTTTTTGATAATGAAGATACTTTATACATACTAACTTCCAGAAAAAAAGATTTAAAATTTATACATTTTGAATCCTCATAGATTTTACTTCATATGTATTCATTTTTGAAAATTATTAAAAAATTTATTTATGAACATTTCAGCTTGTTTTATATCTGATTATATATTGTAAAGCTTATTTGATAAAAATTTTCATAAATTGTCTATATCTTTAATTCATAATTACAGATAATAATTCTCTTTTTTAATTTAAAGATAGATAGCTATGAGTCGCTGTACATCATGCAACAATAATAGTTATACAAGCTTAACCTCTAATAAAAAAAATTCTTTTCATAGGTTATTTCTTTATTTATTATTTTATAATATTCTTTTTTTATTTTAAGACATTAATATTATTTTTTTTAAGATTCCCTATTAAGAATAAAATTTTGCTATCAAAATGGATTAAAGCCATAAATAAGATAAATTTTATTCCTACCAAATACACCAAGCTCTGAGGAGCCCATTTTTCAGAAGAATGTTTTCTTCCCTCAGTCACAGGATATGCTATTCTGAAGGAAGGATCTGTACCATCCATTTTTAATTCCAGACCCTTTCAGGATCTATAATATATTCATTTAAAATTAATATTTTTTTAAGATAACAAATATCCCATTAAATAGAAATAAAATTCTTAAAAGTTCTAACTTTATAGTAAATGATCATACTTATGCTGCTAATAGTTACTCCTCAACTAAAAGGGTAAAATATTATTACTTTATAAAAGATCAATAAAAATATTTTTAATATTTAAGAGAAAATTAGATATCCTTAATAATACTCTAGAAGCTGAAGGCTTAGAAGAGCCTGTTAGAGATAATAGCCCAGTGAGCCTTATTTATTAAAATACTTTATTTTCATCTTTGAATATTTTGACTTTATGTGTATCAATATATAATTTTTATTATGTAAAACATTTTATTTAAGAATACATCTGCCAGCTATCAAAATACTCTTAAAGATGAGTGTTTAGAGGAATCGGAAAGAGATGTAAACCATGTAAGTCTTTATTAAAATATTGATGTAATTTATTTATTTAATATTTTTGAATATTTTGACTTTATGGATATCAATATATAATTTTTTATGCAAAAATATTTTATTTAAGAATACAGCTGCCAGCTATCAAAATACTCTTGAAGATGAGTGTTTAGAGGAATTGGAAAGAGATGTAAACCATGTAAGTCTTTATTAAAATATTGATGTAATTTATTTATTTAATATTTTTGAATATTTTGACTTTAAGGATATCAATATATAATTTTTATTAAGCAAAAATATAAATGAATACCTTTTCAAAAAATATTAAGAGGATATACTTAGTAAAAAGCTTCTTCAGATGAATATTGATTCTACCAACTTATTAATTGCAAATAACAATGAAGATGCTAAATCTTCTATTAATAACCCTACATTTCCTAAATATCATGATGATCATATTTATGCCACTAATATATCATCCTTATGAAGGAAATTTATTTATCAACAGAAATATATTCAAAACTTACGAAAAAAGGTAAGGGCTTCTTCTGATAGAAAAAATAGACGAAATAAAAAAATTTACAATTTACAATCTTTAATGAAAAATTTGAAAAGTAAGCATATGATAAATGGCGAAGGGGAAAATGTTATAGAAGATTTTTTTTCAGGCCTACCTTTATCATTTATTAAAACTCAAGTTCATAGTGGGGGAGTAAAAAATCCTCGCAGAATAAAATATAGTAGTGAAATGAAGCAATTTGCATCAACACTACATTTTTACTCCCCCAAGGCTTATAATTATTTTAGAAATCAATTCTGCTTGCCTGCAGAGTCTACATTAAGAATCTGGAGTAAGCAAATACAGATAAGACCAGGTTTAAATTAAATATTTTATATAAAATAATTTTATTTAAGTTTTTTAGATTCTTCCTTAAAACGGATTAAAACATTTCAATCAAATTCGCATGTACAATTATATCCTATTTTATGCCTTGATGAAATGTCTATTCGGCTACATATTCATTGGGATAAAAAAGAATTTCATGGATACATCGATTTTGGTAATGGAATAAAACCTTCCGAATCTCTACCTGAGGCAAGTAAAGCATTATTTCTTATGGCAACTTGTTTAAATGGTACATGGAAAATTTCATTAGGATATTTTTTAGTTGCCTATCTGAGTTCTGAGACTTTATCAAACATAGTAACAAATGCCCTCCATTTATTGCATGATACTGGGGTGATGTTCAACAAATATAAAAATGTATCAATTACTTGGTGCCTCTTTGGACCCAAATAATTGTATTCCTTATTTTCTTCATCCGAGCAATTACAAGGAAAAAGTTTGTTATTTTGGACGTTTGCCATATGATAAAACTCCTTAGAAATCTACTCGGCGATAAAAAATTTTTAATCAATAATGGAGTAGTAATTACTTTTAAAATATTTCCTAAATGTTATTTTTACAAATAGGTAATAAATTAGAAATATTTAGCAAACCTTCATGATTTACAGGATAAGGAAGGACTAAGGGCTGCAAATAAAATTGGCCATTCTCATATTGATTATCATAAGCAGAAAATGAAAGTAAAATAAAAAGAATTTTTTTGCTTCTAAAATATTTTTTTAAAGGTTAAACTTGCCGTTCAAGTTTTTAGTAGCTCAGTAGCAAAAGGTATTCTTTTAGCACATGAGCTAAAAATTGATGGGTTTGAAAACTGTGAAGGCACAGTAGACTTTATTCAAATGATTGATCGGTATTAAATAAATACCTTGATAATATTATAATATTTTTATAGAATGTTTGATTTTTTAAATACTCAAAACATATGTGCTAAAGGGTTTAAGGCCCCACTATCTAAAAGATCTCTTCTATATTATGAAGATTATTTTGAAAAATGTATCAATACTCTTAAAGCTTTAAAGTTTGAAGATGGGAAATATGTATGATCAAATAGAAAAACATGCATTATAGGGTTAATAGCATCAATGAAAAGTATTCTGGGTATTGGGAATGAATTATTATTGGGACCTAATCCCAATTCTTATTTATTTTCAGATATTTTTATACCTCTTAACACTAACCATAATTATTATTAATTTTTTTTTTCTTTTCTTATTTTTGTTACGTTTTTACCTACAAAACCTCACAAGATCATCTTGAACTATATTTTAGTTGTTTACGCAGCAGAGGTTTTAAAAATAATCCTTCTGCTTATCAATTACGATCGGCCATAAGAGATGTCTTGGTAGCAAAACTGGAAGTGATAATAACAGGTAATTGTATTCCAACCGATAATACTAATCTAATTTGTGGAGATTTTCAGAAAAATGCTGACAATAACAACCATATTAATCTTTATGAAAATTCGTTAACATTTGTTCCTAATATTCCGATATTATCACTCTACCTTGAAAATGTATCAACCTATATAGCAGGGTATATAATACGCAAATTAATATCTGAAAAAAAGTAACATGATATACATGCATAACAGCTATGATGGATATCAAAATCATAAAAATAGTGATGCTTATAATTTGATAAAAATAAAAAACAATCAGGGGTTAATAATTCCTTCTAAGAGTGTTTCAATATTATGCCAAATTTCTGAAAGTGCATTCCGTGTTTTTGAAAAATCATTGCTAATAAAAAAAAAATTTATTTTCAAAAGGATTGTATCATTTATTCTATTAATCATATGCTTAATCAAGAAGCACTATTCTCCCATTATCAAATTCTAATTACATTAATAATTGAACATTATTTGCACATTCGATTTCATCATTATGGTAATAATCAAAATAGAAAATCGAATATCAATATTCGTCAGAAATTGACCAAAACAATTTTATTTAATGGCCAATGAATAAATTGTATAGTGTGTCTGAATTAAGATTCCTTTTTTTAAATTTAATATTGTTGATTTATATCATGATCATATATTTTTAAATGTTGATATTATATTTTGTTAAGAAAATTTATTATATCTTATAAAATATTTATAAATTATCTTATAAAATATTTATAAATTTTCTATAACTTTAATTTTATAATAAAATTTATTTCATTCTTACACATTTTTAATTAGGTTATGCTTATGATTTTGTAAGAAATACACATGAGAATATGTTAAAATAAATAAATACTGATACGAACACATAATATTAAAAGCCATATTAGAAAATGAAACCAATTTTAAAAAATAAAATATTACAAACAAGGAATGATAAAAACAATAAATAAAATAAAACTAATTTGAAAATTAATACCAAGAGATAAGATTTGGGAATAGGATATCCTAATAAAAGTAAAAATATTTTAAACATTCTCAATAATTGCGATAGGGTTGCTAAATGTTAAGGTTTAATAGTTATTAAGATCTAATCATATAACTCCTAAAATATTAAATTCATAAGTTTATTTCTTTAATTATAATAAATATTATGAATAATATAAAAATCATTTTAATCATAAAAATTAATAACTATTAGATATTATATATTTTTTATTAAAATATACAAGATTATATTATTTATATAAGTAATAATAATTGATAGGATATTTTTGAAGTTATTGCATTATTTTATAATAATATGTTGCCATAAGAAATAAAGCTTTGCTAGCTCAGATATAAATTCAGAATGTTCTATTCCATTTCCAAATCTATATATCCATGAAACTCATTTTTATGCCAATGAATAAGTCGCTGTATAGACATTTCATCAAGGCTTAAAATAATAAATAATTGTACATGCGAATTGGATTGAATTGTTAATCCTTTTGAAGGAAGAATCTAAAAAACCTAAAATAAAATAATTTTAAAGTTATAAAAATAAGTTTATTTCTAACCTAGCCTTATTTGTATTTGTTGACTCCAAATTCTTAAGAATTATAAAACATCCTACTGAGCAAAATTTTAAAACAAATTAAAATAATCCAGCCATGCAAAGCAAAGATATAAATTGGGCCAGGCACAAGTTCATAAGTAAAACTCTTAATTTCTTAAGTTTATATAAATCTAAATGTAATTTATATGGAACCCACAAAATTGTGACAGTTGATATTCTTATAAGGAATCTTCAGTTTAGATATATATGATTGCATAAAGTAAATAAGATACCTAATAAACTTGAATAAAAATTGTTGATATTGCTTTAATGTAAATTTTATAAATTAAGAAAATAAAAATAAAAGCTTTTGATAAAATATAATGTTTGATTAATAAAATTGTATCAGTAGTAAATTAAAATGATAATCTTATCTTATCTAGCACGTTGGTCATAGACCTGCCCAAAATGAGCGAACATATATTTTATGAAGGCCCACCCTTCATAAAATTATGCCGATTTTTTTCTCAAGGATACCAACAAACCTTGTTAAGTTGTAGTTTACAAAATGAGTGGAACTTACCATTTCCGATATTGTAATTGTAATTTATAAATTAGTAAAATAAAGACATATATTTCTTATTTGTTTTTTAATCTTGAATAGTTATATTCATGATAAGGAATGAGTTAAGAATATTTGAATCCATAGACATCAAAATTCTATTTCATTTGTTAGGTTATATTCTTCCAAAAGATGAACCGGAAAAATCTTCGCCATTTGGGATGGATAGAATATTTTTTAAAAAATATAAATATAAAATGATAATAAAAATAATGGACTCAATGGGTAAAGTGAATTGTTTCTAAGACAAATTATCATCGATGTACTCAACATGGTGTTAATGGCGTTTCCAGCCTATTTCAATTGATACATGCTTAAAATGCATTTTAATGAATGAATTGTTAGTATAGGTTAGGCCTATTCAAAAATAATTCTATTCGAATCTAATCGAATAATTATGAATACGAATAATAAATTATTTGTTTTATCTGAATACGAATAATCATTTATTCGATTCGAATAAAACGAATTATTCGTAATATTTAATAAATTGTTTTATAAATCTAACATTTGTCATTTCTATTTGTTGACCTGCCAATCTGACAGGTGATGTGTTTGTGTTTATAAAAATTCTAGTACAAATTCATAAATTTCTAGTGAAAATTTAAATTTTTATTTGCCACATTTTTTGAATCTCACGAAAAGTTTATTTTTTGAATCTCATAATAAATTATATTAAAAATTACATAAACCAGAGGTATATAAAAATATATTACATCTCTACAATAATTATTGTTAGCTAGCCTAATTATGTTAGAGGAGAATGCTTCTGATGAAATTATGCTTGATGTTGAAGATGAGAAAATTTCCTCATAAAAGAGAACAATCATATGGGATCAATTTTAAATCCTTAAAGACGGTGAAAAGGCTGCTTGCAATTATTGCAAGAGTATTATAAAATGTAAAGGCAAAACAACATCTCTTATTAATCATCATAATAGGTTTCATTCACACCTTAGTAAAAAAAATAATAAATTGACATTTTTTTAAAGTCTACACCAAATTCTTTAAAAAAATAATAAAATTGACATTTTTTTAAAGTCTACACCAAATTCTTAAAAAAAAATAAATTTTAAGGATAATTTATTAAAATTTTTGATAAATAATAATATACCTTTTAAAATTATTAATTCAAATGATTTTAAAAATTTTATAAGTGATCTTGATTGTTCTGTAAAATCAATATGCTCCAATACTCTTAAATTGAACATGTATAATATATTTGCAGAAAAAGAACAGTTGGTAAATGAAAAATATATAAAAATAAAAGTCAGATTAATTTTTCATCTGACATTTGGACTAGCAACACAGGTTCCTTTTTTAGGGCTAACAGCTCATTTTATTGATGAAATTTTAAAATAAATAACATAATTTTGGATGTCAGTCCAATAAATGGAACACATTCAGGTGAAAATATATTTAAAGCCTTTTTTAAAATAATTAAAATTTATAATTAAGAGAATAAAAATTTTATATAACTTTAGATAATGCAACTAATAATAAAACATTTATTGATACATTTTCTTTAAAATATCCATTAATAAAAATAGTGCACATCCGATGCTTTGCCCATGTAATTAATTTAATATCCAAAGCAGTGGCGTAGCTATGGGGGTGGTTTTCGGGTTTGGACCCCTCCCAGAGCAAAAAATTTTTTTAGATTATACGTTCAAAAGACTTAAAAGTGATTTTATATTAATTATATTTTTCTGGTTTTGATGTTTGTGGAAGGATATTATATTACTATTGAAATTATTCTGGATAGTATTATTATAAAGTCATTGAGAATAATCTACTAAATTATAATAACATATTATTGATGCATTTAAAAAATATATTTATTATATATTATCGAAGATATGGTTATGATTTGTAAGATAAACCCGGCCGAAGGCCGGAGCAAAAGGGCCGAAGGCCCGTTAAAGAGGGTCTAGGGGGCGAAGCCCCCAGCTTTTATATGTATGGACCCCCTCTAAGGAAAATTCCTAGCTACGCCACTGATCCAAAGAAATTTTAAAAATTTTAGATCCTTCAATTCTAAAACTAAGAAACATTATTAGAATAATTCGTATGTGGTGGAAGGCAAATGCATATCGGATCCCCATGCTCTCGAAAATGGCAAGGGATTATCTATCTATACAAAGAACAGCAACTGCTTGTGAAAGGCTTTTCTCAGTTGGAACTAATTTATTGTCAAAAAACCGCATGTCATATAAGGAAGAAAATAAAAGAAAAACTCTTTGCCTTAAAAATTGGCTTAAATTATAAATTAAATTAATAATATACATTTTAATTTTGTTTATAACTTGATTATATATTATTTAATATCAGATTATTGATTACATATTATTATAATTTTTTCTGTTAAAAATCAAATATGTAATAAAAAAATTTGTCAATATATTTGAGTATGATTTATTTTATTAAAAAAATTAATTCGAATAATTCGAATCGAATACAAATAGTAGATTTTATTATTCGTGCTAATTCAAATAGTAAATTATTCGATTCGTTTAATAATGCACTATTCGATTCGAATTCGTTTTTGAATAGGCCTAGTATAGGTATTATTATATGTCATTGACCCGTACCTGGTTCCCACACGAAATCGCCAAGATCAAAATAGCTAAATATTTATGTACGTAATTTAAAACACCACAAGTAATATAATATATCCTATATAATAAAATACTAATATATAAAATAGTGTATTATAATATAAAATATATAATAATAATATAATACTAATATAATATAATACTAATAATATAAACTAATAATGTAATACACTATAATACTAAAATAATGTAATATTATAATGTGTAATATAATATAAAATATATAATAATAATATAATAATAATATAAAATATTAATATATAATAAAAATATATAATAATAATATAATACCAATATATTATAATGCCAATAATATAATACTAATATAATATAATTAATGCTATTAATATAATACTAATATAATATAAAACTAATAATATAATACTAATAATGTACTACATTATAATACTAATATAACGTATTATTATAATTAATCTCCTAATATCAGTGTAATATACATAATATAAAAATCTTAATATAAATTAATATAATAAAATATATAATAAAATATATAATACTAATATAATATAATACAAATAATGTTTAACACTATAATATTAATATAATGTAATATTATAATCCAATAAAATCCTAATATAAGTGTAATATAATATAAAATATAATGTAATATAAAATATATAATAATAATATAATGTAATATTATAATTAATCTCCTATAATATAAAATATATAATAATAAAAAAATCCTAATATAAGTGTAATATAATAAAATATATAATGCTAATATAATATAATACTAATAAT